TAGAGGTATTTTAATGCATTATATCTTTCCTTGTGAGAACCTTTAAATTTCAATTTATAGGAAGTAAAGAACCTGGGTTTGTGCACCAAAGAGTAGAATAGATACCTTAATAATTTTCTCTTAAACACCTTTGAAAGTAGGTTATTGTCTTGTTCCCTCAAACTCAGTAAGCACCTGACAGATTTCTTAGAACAAATGCAATGGCGTGAGTTCGAGATGGCAAATGTAGCTGGTCTGCTCATAAGCACCACACCTCTCCACCACATCACCGTGTGTTGTGTGTGTAGGTCTCAGCTCCCGTTCTCTCTGAATCATGATGCCATTACGATCACGGAGCATAGAGTGTGCGTTCGGCAATGCAGCTAGTTTTGTGGTACCTCTCACATGGACTAGGTCATGGCTTTGGGTGTAGACTATTCCACGTCTGATGAAAGTTTGTCACTGAGCTGTAGCCGCCACATGTGGAACCACCTCATATTCCTTCCTTCCCATGGCAGCTCAGTCATTGATGGACATCCCCTGGGGAGCCAGTTCTTGCCTCCCCTCAAGAGCCACATTGAGGCTGGATAGGAAGGGAACAGGCTGAGATACCCCTGTATTCACACTTGGGTGGGTTTGGGCTTAGACTCTTGCACAAGTTGACAACAGATCCTCATCCTGGTTTTGCAATTGGGCTGCATTTATCCCACCGGTTCAGCAGAGAAAGCGCTGAGATTTGTTTTTCAGATGTATTCATTGTAATGAGACGTTGAAATTGCAGTGAGCTCAGAAACCAGTTCACCAGAATCCAAGAATGCTACAGAAGTCGACCACAAACAGGTCTACAATGATAGCACACAGAGTGAAAATTACTGTGTCCTGTAAATAATTGCCTTCATGCCTCATTGAAAATGCAGTAGTTAAACATTCTTGTCTTGTGAGTAATTTCCTATTCACAGTTTGTGGGAAGGCACAAATGTAAAGAAAACAGGTTTGGGGTCCTTTTGTTGGGTTTTTGTTTTGTTTTTAAGTCTGCTAATTTCAATTCATGAACACCATGGGAGCCTGCAATTCCGATTTTCTTTTCACAGTATTAATGAAAACTGGGCACTGAAAATAGTCAGATTTTTCCCTCTAAATTTTAAACCACTTATAAATACAGTCAAGAATAATAACTTTCTAATCCATTATTACACAATGTAAAACTGTGCTCAGTTGCTATTATTTCATGCAAAGTTTTTCATAAGTAGTAGAAGAGGCTTTTAAAAATCAGTCCCTTCTAAGCTGGTCTTTGAGGCAATCCAAAAAGGCTGGTTGTGTGCTGTTGAGAGGAGGAGCTGTGCATCAGAGAAGTTGTTTTAAGAAGGGATTGTTGCACCACAAGATGACTTTTACTTCCTCTCACTGTTATGGCATGGTCTGAGCATTATCACAATCTTTATGATTCTCTCTTGTTCCTAATCAAACCATCCTCAGCTTACAGATTGTTTCAGGATTTTTTAGAGATGACTTTTTCTTCTTAAAAATCGGGGTCTTTTTAATGACATTTAATCTTAACATTCATCTATAAGGTATTTTGCTTCTCATTTACAATAAGAAACTTTATCTGGGATGAAGTTAGTGTCTTTTTGATGCTGCAGAACGCTAACAGAGACTGCAACCCAGTCGCAGACAAGGTTACCCATAGACATACCTCTGCTGCTGTGCTGGGAGCCAGACTCTGACTGGTTCAGCCACCAATATGCTGGAAAGAAAACTGCATCATATATTTCTCAAAGAGTTGGGAAGCAAAGAGCAAGACTTCTGTAACCTTATAATCTTCACTTGCTTCCCATTGAGATCATCTGTTGTCCCTTGCAATAGTTCCTGTCTTGCAGGGGGGAAAAAACCCCAGGTAAATTCCCTTTGGGTACTCCAGTCTTGGTCAAATAAAGGTCCTACTTAAACAGAAGGCAGCTGTTTCAGTAGTGTTATGGATGGGGATTTGTTTATTTACATAGAATTCAAAAGAAGTGTAGGCTGGCCTTTTCCCAGTGTCCTTCTCCTCCCTGTCTCAGAATAGGACACTTGCTTTAGCATGTGCTCCATTAGACTTTCCTGCCTGAAATGCTCACAGACAAACCCATGTGCTTTGTAAACTTTCCTCTTATTTCCTCCTCCTTCATTTGTCTTGAGAGGCCCTGCTAGGTTAAAAGCATATTTTAATGTAAACAGAAGAAAAATAGCAAGAAGTCATTTCCCTTGTGGAACTGCTCGTTTTACAAAAGTCCAAGCAAATGTAACAACAGATGCTTTGAAGATGTTGTAAGTTTAAACAACATTAATTTAGTGGTTGAATATTCCTGAGACAGCTGGGATAAATGAGATAATTGTGAAAACATTCTTAAAAATAAAAGGATGCCATCAGGTGAAAGCCAGGAGTTTAGGTAATGTTGAAAAATATTCCTTACATGTTTTTTTTTAGGTTGCAGTGTTAAAAGAATGTTTTCCTCTGAGCAAGCTGTTAAGTGTCATTTAGTAGACATTAATTGTAAAGTTAGTTGATGGCATTTGGCCCAAATGTCTGTATTTTAAAGAGAAAGAGCAGCTGTTAGTCCATCAGGTATTGACAGAGTTTATTCAGTTGCTTCTATTATTTCTCAGACAGAAATTAATTTCCTGAAATCACATACAATAAGATAAGACTTTGTCTCATTTTCATTCACTGTGGAAATACTCAGGAGTCTTTATTCTGCAACAATGCATTGTCTCTTGTAAAACAATAAATGACACCCTATGTGTAAAAGAATTAGCATTTTCTACAACAGCTACAATGAAGAAACAGGATCTAAACCAGTCACTGACTACTTTGGGACAGGCCATATTTCTTAGTAGGGTGGCATCTACCCTGAAATGAGAAAAAATCTCAGAGCCTTCTGAAGCAAAACTTCCAAGATCTCTTGTGTAGTCATAGAAAATACTGATTGTACCAACTTGTAACAACTAAGAACTTTCAGAGGGGGGAAGAAAAAAAAGTTAAGATACTATTTGACATGAATGACAGTTTTCTTGAGTCTTACTGTGGTGCCTCTGTTCTTTCAGCCAAATAAAATGTCACCTTCTTTAAACCTCTGTGGGATAACTGCCAGGAAGTGGTGTTTCAACAGTAAGAATACAAATCACCAATAAATAAATGATGAATAATACCAAGGCAGGGAGGGAACTTAGTTCTTTGGGGGAGTTGTGGCTTTTTTGCTGTGTTTTATTATTCATAGGCCAATTGTAGATGTCTGTAGTGGGTGGCTGCTTTTAATTCTGGTTGTCCAAACTTGTTGCAATTTTTTGACTAGTGTTGATAGTTTGAGTGGCATTACCTTCACTGTACCATCCTTAAAATCATCATCTTCCTATTATGTCTTTACAGTGCAAAAAAAATGACTATAGGGCATAATGTACTTTCATGCACCTTGAGCAAGACACTTCCCTAATACACTTCAATAAAATGCTAGTCGTAGGCAAGGCCTGATAAAGCTAACATTATGAATGTGTTGTAAAACTAGTGTTTAATAATACTCCTAGTTAACATTTATGTTTTACTGACTGCATTTTTAGCCATGCATAATGATTTAAAATGCAGTTTCTATAAGCCAGCCTGGATGCTTAATGAGAGTGTTCTGCACTGCTCAGTGGGAAACCCTGGTTCACTCACTGCTTGTTTCTTGCTCCTGAGCTCAGCCAAGGCTGGCAGTGCTGAGGGTACACAGCCTCTCAGGAGTTTGGAAATGCTGGTATAATCACAGGAATATTGCATAGACCCAGGTCACTTCATTTTTGTCCATGACGCTTGCTAAGTTACGGAAGTTCTATCTCAGCTATTGCCACTTAAAGCAATTCTATACAAAGATCTGCCTCTCCTCCTTCTGGAAAATGCAATAAAGAAAGGAGATAATGGGAAATGCATAAGCATTGTGTGTGCTGTGAGCGTTTATCCTAGAAATTCCTCCTGGAATTAGGCTTTCATTCCACATGGCTGTGCAAGGGGACAAAATGTGCCAGACAACACAATAGTTCCTATCAAGAAGACTTTACTGTCTGAAGGCATAGGTCAGTTCAGTTCATATCACAACTGAGAAGGCCAGAGTCTGGCCTGAGAGGTGGGTTCTTAGAAGGCTGAGCCCTTGGTCTGTGCAATTGAAGAGTTTTTTTCTGGGCATAAAGCACTGCTTGAAGGAATGTCTGGTATTGGCATCAATGACAAAAAGAGGGAATGGGAGAAGTTGAGTGAAAAAGTGCTCTAACATGTAGCCATATTCAAGGAAGACTCTGTGAATTAGAAAAGAGAAGGTAGGGTTGGATAGCGCTCTCAAGGTAATAAAAGTAAATATAATTAATTCAGGAAAAAAAGAAAAATAATAGAAGGAAAGGAGAAATTGAGAAGTTTGCTGAGGGAAGTCTAAAGGAGAGCTGATGATACCTTATTTGTAGCCAACTTATTGGCTGTTATCATTTATTATTAGAAGGAATTTTGGGTTTTTTTCCCCCCATCCTGTTTGGTAGTCTGTCTTATCATCACTGGCACTTCTAATCATCACATGTGTTCTCAGTAAGTACTATAGTATCACTTTTTGTTCTTTACAGAAGGAGACAAAGAAAGGGAGGGAGTGGAAGAAGGAGATCCTTTCCTCCCAGATGTTCGTGTTCTGGCATTTAAATTGTGGCACGCCTGTTATTTCAGATTATTTAGGCATTCTTTGCTTAATAACAGCATTTGGAGAAACTATACTTTTGAAGGCTAAACCGAGATTTCCCTTACTGTCCTTTTCCTTGTTTAAAAGCCTGTTTACTTGTGCTGACAGCCATGAGAATGGAATGGGGTGCAAACCTAAATGTTTTCGGACCGGTAGAGTAGGGTACATTCGTAGGTAGTCCTGACCTAGTGAGTGCAATTAGAAAGATGCATGTTTGTAGCAGGTAGATATGACTAGCTCCTCAATGTGCAAACTCAATAATAACCTCTCCCTTATTTCATTATCTACCTACAGCAAATCCTACCAGGGCAGGAGGAGGAAGGGAGTACCCTGGCTCGTCCGAGGTGATTCGTGAATCCAGCAGCACAACAGGCATGGTAGTTGGGATCGTGGCAGCAGCGGCGCTGTGTATCCTCATTCTCCTGTATGCTATGTACAAGTACAGGAATCGAGACGAAGGATCGTATCACGTAGATGAGAGTCGAAACTACATCAGTAACTCAGCACAATCCAATGGGGCTGTGATCAAGGAAAAACAGCCCAACAGCGCTAAAAGTTCCAACAAAAACAAGAAAAATAAGGATAAGGAGTACTATGTCTGATCTCAACATCTAAAAGAACGCTTGTATAGAAATAGTCTTCATTTTATCTGAGACATAATACAAACTTATTTACTTTACTTTTTATGAAGCACATTCAAAAACAAACAAACAAAAAAGACAGGGAATGCAATCAGAAAGGAAAGACTGTTTTTAAAAACAAGCATTTCATGCTCTTGTTTTTCAGAAACAGGAGCTGATAAATTCCCTAACATCCACAGTGTTTTCATTTACTCTGCCTGTCTTTATGTTGCTGGAACATTTCTGAAAGACAATGATGACACCACGCATTCATAAAGCAAGGAGTATTACTACAACATCAAGGCACAATATGAAACAAAACAAATTAAAAAAACAAAACAGGAAAAAAAAAGAAAAAAGAAGCTACCTATGATTCTGGATTTAGCCAAAGTGCTAGCGCTTTCTTGAGAAGTAAGTTAGTCTTATTGTCAGAGAAGACTGTCATTATATATGGTGACTCAACAAGCAAACATAAAGAGTTTGCCGTCTGGTGCAGTGAAGCAGTGATTGGAAACTTGCATTTGAAACAAAGTGCTGGCTTTTCTGAAGACTTACGTAGAAATACTTTCAAAAAGCCCCTTTCTGGTTGTGAGGAAAATAGTACGGAGGCCTTATTTTCAAAAACAAAAACAAAAATCTGGAATATAAGGCACATTTCCACAAAAAAAAAAAAAAAGAAAAAAACAAACAAGAGGGCATAGATGCAATCATTGGGAAATTTTCATGCACGCTTAATATGTTATTACATATGTTTATATAAAAACACATCTATATGTGCTTTCTGGACTGTGATAAGTGATGTTTTATAGCCTGTTGTATAGAAAATGCAAACTATATCTGCTCTTCAGCCATTTTTGGTAAACTCAATGTTATAAGTGTTGCTAGGTATAGAGAGTTTTATGACATCTGGAGCAACAGACATACTTCAGTTTTTTTGCAGCCATTATAAATTGTCCCAGACTTCTTCCCCTTTTTTTTTTTTTTTTTTTTTTTTTTAATTTACAGTGTAGTGGTTATACTAAGGGGGATGTGTATGAATGTATATAAGAGTCAGCTAATTTTTTTCTTACCTGTACAGCCTCTATTCTGTTGCAATTAAGTTTTAGTAGTTTGTATGAAAGAAGTGGACTAGAAAGCAAAAATATATCTCTACTGTAATTTGTCTTCTCCCTCCTATCCCCATCTCTTGCTCCTGATATGCATCAATGATGTTGATCAGAATGGCCAATTTTCCTAGAAATATACATTCATTAATTAGCTAAATATTTAGTGACTTAAACGGCCTTTGGCTTCCAGTCAAAGCTTCACTATTGGAGAGCATGGTTTGCCTTACAGAAACCTTGTTCTTAAGAAATTACGAGAATGATGAGTTTCTTGAGAATCTTAGGAAGTATCATATAGTGTTTATCTGGCATTCAGTTATATGAACGACAGCTACTACAGCATTGGGTGGTAAAAGATCCCAAAAGACCCATTTTAATTATCCAGGCTGATTCTACTGCATAATTTACCCCTTTCTCCAAAAAGGAAATAATCTTGAGGTGCACAATAGTATTTTTCAATGGGCATTTTGACATATGAAAAAGTATTTTTAGCTAAGTTGATTGTGTAGTATTGCAAGACATCACAACCAGACAAATATAAGTTCATCATGTTTTAAAGTAACACATAGCTTTTCTTGCATATATAAAACATTAATGCAGTTTAGTTAAGCGTATTAAATTTAATGCTGTAATTTATATGTTGAGGGTTTTTTTCTAGTATTATTTCATTAGGTTCACAGCAATAAATCATAGCATAACATTTTATTTACATGGAAGTTCAAAGGGAATACATTAGACAGAAAGAGGGTAGTTCAACAGAAATCAACCAAATCATTGGAAGGCCTCCTGGGATGGATATAGATGTTCACACTTTACAGACAGGAAGGAGGAATTTAAAATTAGCTTTAAACAGCAGGCACAAAACATTTTGTTGTGTGTTATTCACTGTAGCTGATGAAAAAGGCTGGAAACTGGTACAGCTATCTATCTGGGAGTCAGAGCACTTTGAAAATACATGTAGCTGACATGAAGACACCTCTTTTGAAGGTTGCCAACCACATCGAGGTGTGTCATGTTGCATTTGTAAAACAATTTTTTATTTTCATTAGCATTTACACAAAAATGAGAACAGGTTCACAAAATCCATCTGATATTCCTTTCTTAAGATTGTTGTTCACCTGTGGCATTCATAATTTCTCCCACCTTTACAAGACAGCTGTACTCAGGGAACGGTAGGGTCAGGTATACTGGAGGTCATTGCTGGAAGCAAAAGACTTCAGCTGGAGGGGGGAAAGAAGAAGTTGAAAGCCAGGTGGTGTTCAGATTTCAGTGCTTGAAGATACGTAGAAGAACAAGAATAATCTGATGACAGGAGACTGGACATGACGGAATATGGTTTGGGCAAGATGAAATGGTCTTTTCTGCTTGCTATTGATTGCATTAATGAAATAGCATGGTCAGGTCAACTTCCAGGCAGTTTGGTAGATTAATCTTTAACTAAATCCATACATCAAGGAAAAAAAGATCTGCTACTACTATAACAAACAAACACAATTTTAACACTGTTTCTGAAGGTTCTCCTTTTTCCTCTTTAATTTCATAATTTAACAAAAAACAAATATGGATGTATCAGAAGTGCCAGCAAGTGGATTTAAAATTCTTTTTTGTTTAAAAACAGCAGCAACAACAAACAAACAAACAGACATAAACCAACTACCTAACATAAAATTGGATCCTTTCTCTATAATAACCTAATTTGTTTGACTGAGATGGCTTCATTTCTATGACTGTATTGTGTTGCCTTTTTTTAACAAACACTAAATAACATGTGAAACTTTCAACCCTAAGACATCGAAGAGAGGCCCAATGCCCCTAACCTTATAGTGCTTTCTGTGATAGATATTTACGATTTTTTTATTTGTTGCAAGGCCAATTTATTCATTATTGGAAATGCTAAGCAAGTGGAATTTACTGTTTTGTTAATAAAAATGTTTCTTAATACAAATGCTGGCTTGTTTCTTCTCTTGCTCTTGGATCTGGAGTACCTGTTCATCTTAAAGCAGTGAAAAAAAAAATGGTAAATTGGTATGAAGTTACAGACATTCATGTCAGGAAAAAGTGACCTCAGAGCTCTTTGTACACTTAAGTAAAAACCTTCTACAAGTCTCCTGTTCAACTGGCCCAGTTACAAAAGTATGAATTACATTAATGCATTGTTTGGTTTTCCATAGAATTACTTAATTTGAAATTTTATAGCCTTTTTTTTTTTAATCAAGAAATTAAAATTTGATGTCCGTCCCCCCCCATGAATGAAAAAAGAATTCCCTTCCTTTTCCGCCACTTTTTTATTTTTTCTGGTGGAAAGAAGATGGCAGAAGGTAAGGTAATGAGATGAAAAGTTAAAACTGAAAATTTTTCTCTTGCCTAGAAGATGGTTTAAAAATTGATGGAAAAATGAATGTATTTCAGGTCCTTAAAAACATTCCTAGATAATAATTACAAAATTTCAACTGGAGCTAATCCATTAAATAAGTACTTCCCTATTTAGCATGGCATTTAGATTCGTGGGTAACTTCAAGCAAACATCTAATCCTATTGATTCAAGCAAGTGTCTAAGGTTGCCTAAATGTATTGCTGAATGGGGATGGAATTAAGCTTTTGGATCTAAACTCCAAACAGAATTTAAGTATGTATCTTCTTTAATCACATTAGTAGCTTCTTTGACTTCAATGGGATTTATTCATCTGCTTAATTAGGTATGGACTGAAGTATTTTAGATAATTTAAGTTCAGGAATATCTGGAGAAAACAGCCCCTATCTTCCATTGGTATAAAACAGTTTATAGTTAAACTTACGTTCTAAACTTCTTTATACTGGGATTAGTACTTTTGTGTGTGTGTGTGTGTGTGTGTCTGTGTTTTTAAATTAATACGGAACATTCCATTTAGGAAAATGCTTTACACACATTTAAAGGAGCTATATCGGTAGTGATTTTTGTTCTACTACAAAAAAACACACATTTAATTATACACTTCTTAATTCTACAATGTATTTGTTTATTTTTTTCTTACATCTATACTGTGCTCTCCCTTTCACCAAAATCTTACTGGCCTCGCAGTACCTGCATCATCCATCATCAGCTAACTGCTTTAAGTGGTGGCCTCCATAATCAATCATCACTGTGGCCAACTAGCTAAAAAACCATCACAAGATGAGGAAGCAAAGAGAAAAAGCTAACCAACCCCTCCAAACACAACTTAGAATAAGGGAAAGAGAGCACACATGTAGGCTGTAAATGACAACTGTGTGTTAATTCCTCCAATATGACTTCTTTATAGTTCCACAGAGCAGTTTTAAATTGGGTAGCTAGGTATGATTTTCATATTGATTATAGAAATTCGCTTCTAAGTTCAGTACAGTCCTGTTCAGAAGTGCTTGGAAGCATTATGCTGGGATAAGCCAGATTTGTCAATACAATTTTATTTGTAATGAAGGCTATTTGCTTTATTTTAAAGCCCCCACTTTATTAGAGTCTGTAACTGTTTCAGTGTTAAAATGTTTCTGGCCCTCATGGGAGTGGGAAGAAAGAGAAATCCACACTGCATTTAAATCAATTTATGAACTGATGAATGCTTGGGAATGATAAAGTTGCTTGCCTACCAGCCTCTGATTTGTCCGGATGGTCTATTCCTCCTTTGGCTGGTCATTGCTCTCCGTGAAGCAAGAACCATCCCCCACAGGTTAAGCTTTGAGCTAGAAATTCCAGAAAAGCAAAAAGAAGTCATAGATACAGATCTGCTCAGTTTTGTGAGGTGTGGGGCCAGAACTCACCCAGTCCTTTACCTGCTTACTCTGAAGGCTTCTTCCTACTCAAGGTCTTTGACAGACGTCAGCCATGAAGTCTGACTTCTGGGAAAGAAAGCGTGGCCCCTCGCCTTTCTCAGTTACTCACTACCATACAAGTATCTCCATTTGTTGTTCAGAACAAGCAGATTTCCATATGGCAGTGCTTCTCCAGTGGGGCTGAATTGTGGTAGAGTTTGGGTTTTTTTAAAGAAAAAAACATGGCAACTTCAGGGGTAGAGTTATTTCAAAGAGCATGGCATTCTCAGTGAGTAAATTGCCTTTAAGGACAGTAATTTCATGCTGGCATACACTTCAGAGGTTTAAAAATCCAGGCCAGCAATCCTCAATAACATCCTTTCAGTAAACAATAAAGACATTAGCTTGTTTGTCAGCAAGCGCAGGAACCGACAACAGGGCTATCAAAATGTGAACACGTCGGTCTGGTTGCAGCAAACAACATGGGAAAATGGAATTTGGGCAGCCAAAAAATAACCACTGGTGCATTGGCCGGACTCTTAGGAGCGAGTCCGATTACAAGCCAGTAAGCATTTATCAGATGATAAATAGCAAAATACTCCTATTAGTCATAGTTTGGGATGCAGCAGGCTGACAAAACACAGGCACGGCCTGCGCGGCCACATTGGCTTTTTCAGGCCCGGGGCCCCGGTTGCTGTTAAGGCACCGTCCAGTCAGGGGGACTGGGCAGGTTTTACACAAACAGCTGCTGCGTGCCAGCTGACCGGCTGTTTCCAGATAAACCTTCCTTTTCCCTTTGAAATTAAAATACATTTTCTGGGAAATGTACAGCAGATTGCTTCGTGAGACAAATTAAGTGGCTCCCAAAACATGTCTCAGCACAGCCAGCACTGTATGAAATGGCAACCAGACCTCTGTGGCTAGGAGCTGGCTGCGTGGCTGCAAGTTTGGGGGAGAAACCTCCATCCTGCTCAGGAGAGCCCTGGCCTCAGGCACGGCGGCTGAATGCGGTCCAGAAATGAGAGGTCCCACCTCACGCTGGCGGTGGCCCCCGGGTGCAGCGGACACCTGAGCTTGGCAGCAGCTTCGTGCTCCCCGTGCACAGCAATGGCGGCCGAGGACAGGGTGCTGGGCGAGGTGGACGGGGAAACCCTGTAGGCCAGGACGGGCTCAGCTTGTGGTCTGGGGAAGGATAGCAAGGGCCAGGACATGAGGAAGTGCTTACGGTCCCTGATGTGGTCCCCAAAGGGCTGCCCTTGCTTTCACTCCCACTAGGCCCTGAGTTTATACTCTGCTAAAATGGCGGCTCAGCGTGTGGCGAGACCCTGTGGTCCCAGGACCATTTTCTATTCCACAGCAGGCAAGGCTCGAGACAAGGCTGTTGAGGTACGAGCACCTCACCATCTATTTATTTATTTATTTATTTGAGTTCCTGCACCTCCTACAGCTGTGGCAGGGCTGAGGCCTTCAGAGCTGCATTACCCCAGCAAGCGTGGTGTTTCGGGAGCCAATATGATCCCCTGAGGATGGGTGGCTGTGAGGAGGGAAGACATAAAGCCTGCAGGCCCCGGCCCAGGGTGACTACCAAAATGGGAGAAAATTCAGTTGCGAGGGTCTCGCAACCAGGACTGGATGGGGAACGTGCCACAGGGCTCATGGTTTGGCAAAGCTGGAGCAGGCCCAGGTTTTCCTTAGCTGCCCAATCCCTCAGAGAAGAGAAAAAAAAAAAGGTTTATCAAAAAGGTGGGGGTATAGAATATTTAGGAATTTAATTAGGAGTTAGTTTAGTGTTTCTTTAGAGCTTTATCTGCCTGTGGTTCACACCAGAGAGGAGAAGCTCAGGCCTCCTGTGCCTGGAGAAGGAGGCCAGAAGGCAAAAAGCATCCCACAGACATTAAACTCACCCCATAGTAATGTGGGTATCCCTAATTTTCTGGCACACCAGATCTTAAGGATCTGAACCAGAAAATTGACTGGGGGTGAGATAAAGCAACATGGTCTGTTAAACCGTAGGGAGGGGAACAAGCTTCAGCACAAGGAGATGTAAAAACCTTAAGGAAGAAAACAATAACACAGACCCCCAGCTCCCCTGGGAAATCCCACCCTATGTGCCACTGTCTGCTACGCAGCTTTTCAGGCTCACAGGTGGGTTTTATTCCTTGCTGGTCACACATGGAGAGGTAGCAGGCTTGTTACATCTGCCTCTCAGTCCCACCTGCCAGAAGGGTTCCCCTGTTAGCAAGGACAGAGCTTGCTGTAGTTACCAGACCCTTCACACCATGTGTGAGCTAATTGTGCAAAGATTTTCCTTTAGATTCAGGCATCGCTGGCAACCAATATAAAGCAAGGAGTTACATCAGGGCAGAATTTATAGGCCAGAACCACTTCCTTCCTGCCTTTTGGGTTTTTACTGACTTTTGTTTGATTTACAGGGGCGGTCCAAGGTACAGGATAAGAATGTACTCCAGTGAGAGCGGAGGGGAGGAAAAAAAAAAAAAAAAAGGCAAGCAGGCTTTGTCTCATGCTGTCCAGCAAATCTCCATATAGTAAGCAGAAGAATTTCAGGTAACTAATTTATTTAAATTTTGGTTTGTTGATGGATGGTGCTTGGGCAAGGCCAGTTTATGCTCAGCTTTCCTGAAAGCTAAATTTGTTTGGGAGCTCATTTATACCTGTCTGCAGGCTCTTTTTAGGGAAACCTTTCAAAATACTGATAGCACAAATGTAACAGTCATTACCTGGACCAGTTTCTCATCTATTTTAATAGCTTTGCCTAAGTAAGGGTTGTAGGATTCGACTCAACATTAAGGCTACATCTGCACCAGCAAGTACAGCCCAGGAAGAGTAAATTTACAGGGCAAAGCAGCTGATGCTAAGGACCTGACCTCCATGTTGCATTTCAGGATTTTCTTTTAACCAGTTGCAGTCTGGTCCAACAGAATGAGTCCTGATTAGTGGTTAGATGGCTTTAGGTGTGTTCATGGAGCTCATCTTATTTAATCTGGAAAGTGTCCAGTTGCTTAATGTAGAGTGCTCTGTGAAGTTAATTGATGTGTAGAAAGTGGGAACAGCTGGAGCTGCTTCAGAACTGTACTCCTGATCTTAAAACTTTCCTGTTGAAACACTCTTTGTGCATTGCTATGTGCTAGTGTGCTCGTAACAACTCTTTATAATAGAACTAGT